CCATCAGATTCCTTCATCTGGTCAAGCTTCCTCTTCATGTTTGTAGCATAGTCATGGGCGAGCCGGTGCAACTGCTTATTCTCATGCTTGAGCCCTATAATATCCTGTTTGAGACTCATCACTTCAGCAGCCAATGATTCAACTTGGCGGGTTCTAGCAAATAGGCGTTGGGCCATATTAGACACAGAACCTGCACACTGACACTGAACACTAAGAGCCAAAGAGTCCTTAACAGCCAACTCATCAGACCGTTTGGAAAGTAGTCTGTTATCTTTGGGAGTGAGAAGGTTCCTGGCCACCACCGCAGCGGTCATATCATTCTTCATCACAGAATCCCCAACGGTAAGAGGACCGGTAGGGGATATGAAGGATGGGCGCCATATGTTGTCTGGAGAAGGCGTGGCTGTCTCTTTTCCAAGGTTCAAGTCAAAACGACGGTCGGAGGGTCCAGACATTTTCAAATGTGTTGAAGAAGGAAGAGGTCAGACAAATCAAGATCTTAGAAGTGCAAGAAATGAGCTTCTACTGGTAGAGATTCAAGTGTGCTGTGGAACTTAATGCCAGCCTCTATAAAAATCTGCACTCGACGGAGCTTCAGAAATCGAAGAGGCGTTTGCTTTCTCAAAAGCTGGGCTGCTCAGAGACCACGAGGGCCGATCTCAGAAATCGAAGAGGCGTTTGCTTTCTCAAAAGCTGGGCTGCTCAGAGACCACGAGGGCCGATCTCAGAAATCGAAGAAGCACCTGCTTTTTCAGCCTCGTCAGCACCTGTCACATGCACACTCAGCTTTGCGGAAATTACGGGCAATCTGTCGAAGATTTCTGGTGAAGTAGAAAGCACGTGAATCTTACTGTTCAATCACCGCTCTCCATATGCACCATCAACTCCTCGGGTACCACATATAACTTTGTCAAAGATCTCTGACAAAGTTTAGGCACGAGAATTTTGAAGTTCCAGCTACCCTACTATTACCCATAAGGGTAAAGGAACAGCACCACTGCTTGACAACTGGAAAGTCCCTATGTGTGTCGACCTCCGGGTTTTGCGGCAAGACAGGTTGGCAAGAACGTCCAACCTTTACTCACATTCGAGAAAAGACTCCCAACATAATTACTTTCTAAAAAACCGGAGTAGCACCGCTTTCCGAATCTCGAGAGTCAGATCCTCGACGGGATTGCTTGTTCGAAAACCGAAGAGGCACAACTCTCAGAACTTCGAGAGCCAGATTTCCTTAGATAAAGCTTGTCTGTAATCTTCACACGTAACATCAGCTTTCCAGATACCACATACCACTTTTTCAAAGTGCTCTGACAAAATTAAAACACGTGAAGCTGGCAGCTCCCACTACACATTGCTGTGACCAAGAAGGGTAAAGGAATAGCATTACTACTTGTTATTGGGAAATCCCTATATTACATTGACCTCCCTCCTCAACGGACAGGCAAACCTGCAAAAATGCTCAACCCTTTCTCACATTCGAAAAGGCACCCTCAACATAACCTCTCGAAATACTCAGCTTTATTTCCCCCCGATAATACCTCAGCAAATAAGCCACACCAAGAACAAGAGTATCTCATATCATCAGGGTCGAAAGCAAGAGTATCCCATATCATGCTTTCTCCCTGTCTTTGTCTTTGTCCTTGTCCACACCTGCAGGACAAGGAGAAAGAGAGCAGTCAGTCGGAACCTGAAATCAAACCTCCAATTTGGAACTGACTGCCTGGAGCCTTTGCCTGGTTGCTTACTTAGCATTGCTCTCGAGTACTCATCCTCAACTGTTGTCAAGGTCAAGAATTCCACCGGCAAATACCTCATGACAGTTGATCAGATATTGGCTCTTTACACTGAAGCTGCCAAGCGTGGATGAGTCACTATGAAGGAATGTTCTGAAGGACCATTTAAATGCAAAGGTTGCGCACCACTTCTGCCATGCAAAAGATTGAAGCAGAAGGTTCAACGGTGAGCTGAAACAGATCACTACAGCACGACACCTTTCCATACCACATTCATTATTCCGTCAACAGTAAAAGTATCCCATATCATCAAGGTCGAACGTACTCTAGATTTGATGGACTTGTTTTGACCCTCAAATTTTTGAGTCGGCCTTATACTCTGAAGGGCACCAGAAAACCCTCCAGCACAGTTCAAGAATAAGCCTGTGGAAAGTTACTTCTTCAAAAGCAAAAGTATCTCATATCATCTCTCTTATCCATTTGCTTCTCCTTATCCTGGCAGTTGAATGAGAGACAAGGAGAATGAGAACAATCAACCGGAAGCCGACGTCAAACCTCTGATCCTGGGTTGCTTACTTGGAAGTTTGACTGCTTACCTTGTCTGTCACCTCTTTCGGCAGATCTCCTAGCTCGGCGACTTGGGGGACTCCTACTATAGGGTTTGTATCACACTTGACTAAGCCCGAAACTACAACTAAGCTTCAAGTGAAATTGATACATTACCTTGTGCGTCAACATCAGCTAAGTACACCATTCCCGGATGGAGGAAAGGTACTTCCAGAGAAGGGCAGATGAAGATCAGACCACACTTCGGTACTTAGAAGTTTCGTGATTACTCAAGGGATTGGATCTTGCAAGTCCCCAACCGAGGAGTTTCCCTCACTCGGGAACTTAGGGGAGCACTGTTTGTACCATACTTGACCAATCCCGAAACTACCGAGCACCGGCCAACGCTATACTGTCAAGGACCCAGAAGAGTTCCCCTCCGACCAGGAGGCCAATCACTACTCGACACGTGTCAAGATTAGAAGCCAATCAGAGCGCAGCACGTGTCGACATCAAGAACCAATCATAACATAACACATGTCAATGTGACAAAGCTACAAGTTTTTCTATAAATAGGGGTCATTCCCCCACAATATTGCCTAATGCCATTTTGTGTTAAATCATTCACAAGAACTCACTAAATTGAGAGCTTGATCCTTTGTACTTGTGTAAGCCCTTCACTACTAATAAGAACTCCTCTACTCCGTGGACGTAGCCAATCTGGGTGAACCACGTACATCCTGTGTTTGCTTCTCTGTCTCTATTCATTTATGTACTTATCCTCACTAGTGACTGAAGCAACCAAGCAACCAAGCGAAGGTCACAAAACCTGACACTTTCTGTTGTACCAAAGTCTTCGCTGATTTTGTGCATCAACACTTTTATATCAAACATTAACTAAAAGTCGTGGCATTGTGTTAGTGCATACATATATATTGTGTTGAGTTAACATGGCATGTGCCTCTTGGATGAGTCTCAATATGATAGTGTAGCTTCTTCAACAGACAATTGCTGCAACAATTTTCCTTCTCTCATAGGCAGGCAAAGAATCTAAAATATAAAAAGGCCAAGCTGCCAACAAAGCCTCACAGAATCAAAGAAGCAAAAGCATGAGTCATATGATTAAGTTGGTCATGGTTTCTTCAAATGGAGGAGTTTGGTTTGACCATTACTATTAGCAGTACCAGAAGCAGACAAAACCAGTATCAAAAGCAGATTACGACTTAATTATTTCTTAATTTAAGCCCTAAAGTCAGGTGAGGACAACTGTAATCGAACAAATTAAAGCTTGGTCTTTGAGGTTTTCAATACATGTTTGGACCCAAGATGATTAATGAACATGTTACTATGTTAACCTACCTTCAATACCAGGTCAGGTGGTCCATGGCTCTAGCCTGTACCTGCGCTAAATGTGGTTGTACATTAGAACCAAGATGGTCTTAAAATCACTCGGAATGTCAGAATAAACATGTGAAAGTCTTCTAAAGGTTCTTCGAATGTTCGGTACAATTTTTTTTTTTTTTATGTTCATCAAGTGTTTGATGTAATGTCTGCTAGGCATGTTTCGATAGGTTGTATCGACGTCACTTGACAAAATCTTTTGATATCATCCGTCAGATTACTTCGGCATATGTCTATATCTATTGACATGTGCGCAACATGGTTTTGCTTACGCCAACAAGCCCTCCTAGTGTTCAAATAAATGCCTTAGCATTTAAACTGAAATTCTTTTTATGCGTTTCGCACTCTGTTTCTATCTAAAAAACTTGAACTCTTAATACTGAAACACCTCAAGGTTCGAATCCTAAATTCGCCAATATGCACTCTCCCTATAGTTAAGGGGTAGGGTCTCGGTTCCCTATGGATATAGGTCATCCATACCCTTACCGTTAGTACTATCAGACTCGCCCATATGTGATATGGCACTGTTTCATTAGGATAGTGAGTAATTGCTTGAATATTGATATTTAAATTTTGTCATTTACGATCGACCAACGCAGATTTCTCACTTAGGTTTCAGGTTTAAACTCTTGGAAGCTCAAAATCTAAGCTTGCAGGGCCATTCATACCTTGGAGAAGCCGGCCGTGTGATCAAAACTTGCATACAGTTGAGAATATATTCACATTTTTAATAGCACTCGTAATGTCCCGATGAAAGCCAAGACTTCCATATAGTGGGAGATGAACTTTCATAACACAAATATACTATTATCATTACGTCACGTCCCATGTAAGTAGATCTCTTATTCGTATTTTGGTTTCACATTATGACAACTATACGCTTGATATTTTAGCCGCTAACATTGGTCAAGATCTAACAATTATAAGTTTCGGTATATAGTATAATTTTCATTTTAATTTGGAACAAACGATATGAAAATTGCCTAAATTCATCCAAATCATGGAGGAGAAATATTCGAACTTGGGCCGAAGACATTGCTTGAACTATTGAAAGTTTTAACGAAAAATCCACGGTACTGTTCACTTTAACGAAAAACCACATTTTTACACTAAAAAGTCAAACCTGGTACTATTCACTTTACCCTTTATTTTGTCCTTATCATTTAAACTCAAAGTTTTCAAACTCTTTTCATTAGTTTCCTTTTAACTATTTTGGCTAAACTCATGTCCTGCACACGTTCCAAGGAACACAAAACACGTTCCGGCCAGGGCACAGCTGAGTCCCAAGACAAATACGAAATTTCCATTTCTGTACATCATTCATAGCTTGGAAGCAGCATCAGTATGGAGGAAATCACAGGACATTGCTGGCTTTTGGTCTTGTAACATTGCTTGGGCGTGCCATAACTTAAAGAAATCTAGCCAGCTTCTTCCCTGGACCAGTTGCTCCATCTCCTGCAGTTTGACCTTTAGACATTGCACTTCTTTTTCTATATCTGTCCCCCTTTTCTTCAGTCCCTATATTTTCAAAATGTAAAGAATAATAGTTACTCATGATCTTTCTAACTTAGCAGATAGAGAGAGATAATTAGGATAGTAATTTTTCAGACTCTCGGTTTCTTCTTATTACGCAGTTCTCTCGTTGTTTGTCCGTTGATTCTCCTTTGATATGTTTAATCAGAAGGCTAGAACGGAAGGAATGAGTGTACGGCAGAAAAGAGATCACGAAAATCACTTCCCTGCGGTTGAATGTTGACTCAGACAACAGCTGCAAGCCTGCAACTTGTGCTCTAAATTTCACCAAGTAGGGAAGATTTTTATTAAAAAGTCGATGATCACATGAAATCAAACGGCTAAATCCTAAGGGGTCATCTTTTAGTAGTTTTCGACAGCTCTTGTTCAACCGCAAACTACTTAAGGCTTAGGGCCGACCCGAGGGCAAGGCGAGCAAAGGCCGACGGTCTTGAACTTCATGTTGCAGAAAGAAGTCACATTAAGAAAAATGCATGGTTTACAAGTAAAACTCGAACTATAGTTCGCCTAGCGCTTCTAAACCCATTGGAACTGCCTCTATTATACTTGGTACTCATATTTTTCCTCTTTTTTGTGGCATTACATATACGTTCCTTTCAAGAAATCGCAAACTGAATCCAAGAACCAAAGCCTCCCTCCGAAAAGAAGTAGAGAAAGGCTTGTGGGTTACCTCTATTTCTTGCTTGCGCTGTTCCTCCTTCCTAGCTTCTGATCTAGCACTTCTGTTCACCTCATAGATAACAGCGAGTCCTGCAACCTATAAGTAAACAAAGCAGCCGCAAATCTTACGTTTGTGATTAGTTTCTAGTGGCCTATATGAAAAATCTAATTACAAAAACAAATAAGATGTCATCAAATATATATCAATGCAGAAGATAAGAGCAAACATGAAGTTTATATCTCTGAACCTGCATACCATACAGGTTTTCCTTCCTCAACGGTGACGCAATTCTGAAACCTAGAGACACTGAAAAAGCATATAGGTAATGCGGCAGCTAGTTACCGAGAAGATAACAAGTTCCCCAAGAAACTCAGCAGCAGCTCCAACAGCTTTTGCTTCATCCAGAGGACGGATCACAACATCTATTGCGCGTCCATATAGACGTCTTTGGAGATTCGTTGTGAAACGATAGTTCGCCTGATTACAGTAGCAGGGGTTACTGCATTATACATCAGTTTAAAACAAGAAATAGATTGGATAAAGAACACAAAAGTTGAAGTGCCACCATCCATGGGAATCCATATATTGAATTCTGAGGGCCTTCGAAATTCAATGTAAATTAGAGCATTAGTCACTGAACTTAGGAACCGGGTTTTAATTTGGTCCTCGAACTCAGTTGTTCGATTTAAAGGTGCATAAACTTTATAAATACAGAAGAAAATTGTTGGAAGAACGAAAACTATGTGATCTTCTTGCTAGTTATGTTTGGCTGATCCTTGACCATTGGTGAAAATTGACATCAAATACTAACAAAATACATCAATTGATTTGAGGTGTTTGACAAAAGTCCCCAACCAAAAAGGAAGAACCCGCTTAAAAACTCGAGCTTCTAGCAAATATCTATCAACTACATGTAAATTAGGCTACAGTAGTACTCCTCTTTTGAACCCAAGTTTGAATTTTCCTTCCCGTAATTTAGTTTAGAATTAAATTAGACTATCGCTCGAATTAAAAAGCAATTACATCTACAAGACAGCGGGAAACAGAGAGTAGACGTACCTGGGCGAGGCCGATGATGTACTCGCGGAACCTCGGGTGCAAACCGGCCTCGGCTTTGAGCCTATTCGCGATGGGTTTCGAAATAGTTCGTACGGCTAGTGTTCCAAGCTTAAACAATGGAAACATTCTTCTCCCTCTCTCTCTCCCTGATTCAATGATTTGTAATGCGTGTGTGCGTATAAGATTATTGGGTGTGTAAAATATTTTGGATGCTTGACGAGCAAGAAAGAGTGCGAGATAAGAGAATGATTAGCGGGATGGAAGGTAAAAAACTGCTTCTCTGGCAAGTCAATGGTAACTTAGGTTAAGAAGAAGACTCTTCTTATATTTTTGACCAATTCACAAATAGGTAATAGATTTAGGGTAATGCTATCCACGCATGCCTTCTTAATTTTCACACATCCCTCTCAATTTTCGGCCGTCGGATTGAATACTTGAAAAAGATCACGGCCATAAATTAATAAGGGTGTGTGTGAGGTAATAATGGGTGTGAACAACACTATCCTAAATTTATTATACCCAAAAAAAAAAAAGGGAAGTCAGAAATAGATTTATGGGCAGTGTTAGTGGCCTTCACTTGTTCTATTTCTCCCCAAAAAGTAAAAATTCAAAAATAGATTATCTGATTTATGCAATTTGGATAACGCGATATTCAAAACTACTTTAATGTACAGGATGGAGATTGAACTCAGTTGTAAGGAGGCAGAAACCACCGTCTTTCTGTTGGGTTTGTTTTAACTTTTAGTTACGTTGAAAGGCATCCTATTACATACATGCCCTAGTCCTAACTCGTTAATATAAAGCCATGTTTGGTGCCTAGGATTGGATTGTGTTGGACAACTCATTTGGTTCAATGTATGTTAAAGTAATCGTTTTGTCCACGATAAATGAAATAGATGGGATAGTCATGAAAAAACTCTCTCTTCTAATTCTCTACAAAATGGTAGGTCTAGGCTTTCTTGATAACTAATTCATCTTCTACCTCCAACTTAAACAAAATTTAAAGTTGACGTCTATTTCTACCTTCAACATATAATGAATTCTCCGATAAAATACATATAATGAATTCTCCGATAAAATTCAATCCTAGTCACCAAGCGTGGCTTAATGGTTCTATATTTTTCTGCATCATAGGGAAAGAAGGACTAATTAATTGGTACAAAGCATGTACCATTGCACCTTGAAACATATAATGATATGTAGAAAATTGATTTCATTTTATTGGTACTGTTTTCCAGTCGCATTGAGCAAAAGTTTGCAATCACAATGAAACATTGCACGTCTCTTTAAACCGATATGTTGACGACAAACTAATCTCGCCCAATCCTTCCCTATTTTCACCAAAAAAAAAAAGCAGTATGTTTAACGTAAGCTATCGACTAACGATTTTGAGGAAAAGGCTAATGACTTCAAAGTACATGGATATATAAAAACTTTCAACTAAAACTTGCAACTCCTGTACAACTTCCAGCTTTTATTGTATGGAGAAGGCCTAGGATGCTCCAAACAAATGGTATGAGTGTAACCAAGAAAGATGCTAAAGGCAAATAGAGTGGTAAATGGCAAAAGTGTAGGGGCAAAACCAGTACAGGCTAGTGTAATTTTCTTCAGTCAAATTCGAGCACTATTTTCCCGTGGATCTGCTTCTTCTCCTTTGCCTCGTGAGCCTCTATCACTTGAGTGATGGGAAACGTTTTCTCCACTGGTATATTCAACTTTCCGGTTTCAGACAGCCTTCGGATCTCATCTAACCCTTCTGAGTCGGCTCTCATATAAGTCCACCAGTACTCTACATCATCAACAGAAAAAAACACAACCTGTGTAAATGACAACCTAAAGATACCTTCGACAGCTTCCATATGTTTCTACGGGTTCCTTTTGCTAACTTTAATGAATAAAAACCTATTGTCCAAATGCAAGAACTTTAAATGTATAACCTAAAACAGCTATACAGACAGACTGCAAACATACACTTAGGCCTGATAAAGGGTAATATCATAACATGCGTTTAGGGCATCAGATGTCACTCTACAAATAATGGGCTTAAAGTGTGCAGCATGATGAAACATGTCTCAAAAGAAATGTTGGATTTACCTATTCCGTGAGAATACCGGTACTTAATCTGTTTCTTCAGTAAAGCAGCTGTAGCAACAGGAAGCCCAATAGCTATTCCATACCTATCACTCAAAGATGCTGCGTCACCCTACAATAAAACAAGGATAACAATCCTTATGAGCATCTGTGGAAAAATTCTGAAAGGAAACATCAAAGGTCCCTATGAGAGAAGTAATGCTAACAGTTCCCATCTCCTACCTGAAGTGTCATGTAGTGCCCACCTCTCTTTAAAAAGTTTATGCATATTCTTTCGGTCTCTGGCCCGCCAATGGTATCCAATACAGCATCAAACTTCCCCCTTATTGTGAATTCAATGTTCTGTAAATTAAACATGTTAACTCAAGAAAGAAATCATTCTTGGTTTTAACACCCATATGAAACAAACTATTACATGAGTTTCACTCAGCTTATGAGATGAAATGAAAGCTAGGTAATAGTTGATTACATCATCACCTCAGCAGTATAGTCAACAGCCTGCTCAGCACCAGCTGCCAATACTCGATCTATACTTTTCTTTCCACAGGTAGTTGTAACATGGCAGCCTCTGGCTACTGAAATCTGAATTGCAGCCAAACCTACAGCTCCTCCACCACCCACAACTAACAGCCTTTGGCTGTAGAGATAAGATGCAGTAACAAAAGGATGCAAAACTGTTAATGACAGCTTCCACTGAGACAAGATGCAATAATCATATTATCACCACCTTCGACCATTGCAACTATCAACAGTACAAGTACAACTATCCAGCTCAAACCAAAGCCAAAAAAAAAAAAAACTAATAAAAAAGATTAAGCTGCCTCTCAATCCATGTTTAGCAAAGACACAGCAACTCGAAAATAAATGTCATACTTTCTTTTACCCCATTTTACCTAAAAATGCATGAAAGATAGTAAAAATTTGGACAAAAAAGTTCATCATCTCTAGTAAAGTGAAACACATTATGGAAAGTAACATCCAGACAAAGACAATCTTCTCTCATACTGTTAACTAGAAAAAGGGTGAAAAAGAGAAGATTAAAACAATCACTAACCCATGTCAAAATGACAATGGCTTTGTAACCCAAAAAATGGAAGAATCTGCTGACAACAGTTTTAATAGAAGAATTCATGAAATGTCAAAGGAAGGAAGTTAATATATGAGATATATTAACATACCCCTCAGCTATCCTAGCAGTACTTATGAGAGCACGCCAAGCAGTCAGAGCAGCAAAAGGAATGGCACTTGCTTCCTAGAATCACACAGAATAACATAAGGCCAAATTGCATTGTTAGAAGGCAGTTAACAGAATGTGAAATATTAAAACTCTCGTGAACATAACAATATATATCACCTCATGAGAAGAATTGATAACATAGTATGTTGACATTGCATCTTGCATGGAATTTCAACACCTATAACTCTATAAGTCACTTTCAATATTTTCTAAGACAAGATAACAATGGAAGTAGAAACAGAACAAAAAGTTTTCAAAAACCCCTACAATTCAATATTCTCCATGTCTAATATGCACCCTCCCCTTTCCATACCCTAGTTAACCTACAAGAATTTGATGTTTCCTCTTAATGCTATCTTTCCATGTTCATGAAGCAACGTGCTGCTTAATGATTAAGCTTGAATAACTCTTGAGTTCCATATCAGGTAGTTTCTACTTCAGTTCATCTAACGAATCTAAGCTAAGAAAACTGTTTGTTTCTACTTCTATTTCTGCTGTGCAAGGCGGAAAATTCAAATTTGAATGTTTGTTCTCTTGCCCTTCACTGGGTTTTGAAGCTAGTGAACCTTTCAAAGCTAATTTTTCACAAGTTAATCAAATAACAAAACCGAAAGAACAAACTTTTTGCGTAATAATAAATTTGACAGCATGAAGAATAATAGAACACATAGAGAGAAACCAAATCAATAAAATCCAAAAGGTCTCCACGAGTAACATTTTACAGTTCTTTGGTAGAAACCAAGTACAAGAATATTTACCACATGTGTAACTGATGATGGTTTTGGTGCAAGTTCCTCTTCTGATAGAATTGCATAGTCAGAATAAGTACCCCTTACAGCAGTAGGATGCAATGCACCAAAAACTTCTTGTCCCACACTCAATCCTCGAACTGAATCTCCCGTAGCTGCAACTTCACCGCTAATATCACGACCCAAAATAATAGGTAAAAGAGGTCCATATAAGGAACGACCATAGCCAGATCGTATCTGAAAAAAAATAAAAAAACAGAGCACTGAATACAAAGATAATCTTATTGCAGAATATAACTGTACTAGTGATCTGCAACCTCAGGCGTATGACAAAAGTAATATCAAATAACTTTAGGAGAGTTGAATCAGAGGGTTCAAATTATCAATGGACTGGTTGTCACAATAGCAAAAGAGAAAATGTAAGAAAAAATTATTGGCAAAAATTTTAAGACATTAAAGAACTAAAATTCGTGCTTTAACAAAATTAAATCGATGGAACACGAAAAAAAATGATGTATGGGTTTGAAAATTAATTTATATCTGGTCACTACAACAGAAAATAACTACAAACATCTAAGATCAGTAAAAAACACAAAATGTAGACTTTGTAGCAGAAAATGAACACAATCCACTACTAGCCTTAGAAGCATCATTGCATTATAAGCAGCTGAATTACTAACAAATTATATATATATATATATATATAGATACATATACAATTGGATTGCCACAAATTTAGCTCAAGTTATTGTTGGAATTTGAAGAACAAATGGAGAAAATGAGCTGAAAGTCAAACAATTGATTACCCTTACTTTCTCGGCAACCAAACAGAGCATGGAAATGCAACAAAGGGATCGATCGAAGAAAGAGGTGAAATTTGACTCACTCTGGTATCGAGGGGATTGACGGAGGCGGCACGAGCGCGGACGAGGACCTCATGGGGTTTGAGATCAGGGACTTCGACATTGGGCCGGAGCTCCAGAACCTCCGGCCCGCCGAAGCGCGGCAGCACCACGGCTCTGCAGCTGGTGACGAAGCGCCGGAACCCT